GTTTGAGTAACACCTTCAGAGACCCTGCCTGTGTGTCTCACCTCACACCTGGAGGTGTGAGCAGGTCCTTTAACCCCTAAACTAGGACAAAACTGCTCCATCCCCATCCCTGAAGAGGCTGCCAAAATATCCCTGCCAAGCCTCCTCCTGAGCCTACACCATTCCCCACGGTGCCAGGGAAAAGCTCCCACTCTGATTGAATCAGCTGCTTTTATCACTCCTCCTGATGCACCCTCTGCTAATAAATATGGAAAACGGGATGGAAATTGCAGAGCTGCAGTTGCATTAACTCCATTACCTCTCCCAGACTTTCAGCTCCAGTTTCATCATGACCCTGCAGACGGAGTTTAAACACTCAGCACTTCCTCAGAAGAAAGCAGCCACACTGCTGAAGGGTCCTGGAGCTGCTGGGGCAGCTCAAACACGGCTCTTCCCAGAGAGAAAAACACAAACAAGGCGCATTTTATCCTACGAAGCAGAGAACATAAATTTAAGCGGGGTTTTGTCGTGTTTCTTTTCCCATGGAGTTAATGGGAAGTGACAAAAGGCTTCGCTGAGAGGGAGAAGGAGGTGGGGCTCGGATGTTTGCTAAAGGTGACAAAGGATTTAGCTGGCCCTCTGCTTTATTTATCCTTCTCCTTAGCAAAAAGAACTGTATCACCTTGGCCACATGAGGCAGTGGCAAAGGAATATGTCCCTGGACCAGAGGTGACAACACAAACCCCTCACACAAGCTCTGTGCGTTCCTAGCCGACAAATGCTGTTTTTCCAGGAATTTCTTGACCAGGACAAAACTCCAGGATTTTTTCTTCACCAGGACTGAACCCCAGGATGTTGTTTCACCCCAAATTTGCATCTCTGCAAGCCACAGGAACACCGGGGGAGCTCTCTGCTCCCTTCGTCCCTTCCTCTCCCTCCTCCCTTTTGCTGTTTTTAATATCAAAAGCTTTGTGCTCTTGATTGGTAATTAAGTACAAGTCACCCGGGCTGCTTTTTCAAAGAGTAATTAAAAGGTTATCAAGAGAAACATGGAAGGTGCAGGTAATTCCTGCTGCAGCTGTAATTAGGGGCAGCGCAGAGATAACTCTGCTCTTATCACAAGGATCGCATCGCTTCCCAGTTCAAAGCAAATACTTCAACTTTCAGTCAATTAAATACGGCCCAGGATGCGCTCCTGAATTGCTCACGCAGCAGATTGATGGCAATCCTTCTCCTCACTCTTCAGCCACTTGTCAGGGAAGAAGGATGAGGATCTGGAAGCGACTTGAGGAGACGCTGCGAGATGTGGGACGTGAGCTGCAAGGGAAGCAGGGCCCGGTGCCAGCAGCAGGATTTGTGTGCTTTGCACAGAACCCCGCTGCAGGAACGACTGCAAACGTTTCCCCAGAGCCTGCACACTCTGCAGGCACGGGAATTCCTGCAAAACCCTCCTCAGAAGGGGCAGGTTCCTCCCAGATGCGTCAATAAATTGGAATTTGTTCTTCCTCCCAGCGATGCCCGTGGAAACGCGACGAGGCTGTGGGAGTTGTCTTCCTCTGGATGCACAGCCTCAAACATTTTCTCAAGCAAATAAACTCAGCATCACTGAAATGTTTTGTTTGAACAGGGAAGAGGCCAGAGAACAACACAATTCCCTGCCCACAACAGGTGGGAAGGGAAGCCCAAGGGTTGGAAGAGCCTGAGAAACCCCAGCATTGCTCAGCACATTTACAAGTGAGGAGTCTCTGCTGGTACAGACATCTAATTTTCTGTCCCCTGGGCTTTTATGAACATCTCTGGAAGGAAAAAAAAATAAAATCTGATTTTCGAAGTTGACCACTTCCATTTGGAGTGTAAATTCAGCAGGTCTCACTGGGAAAACAGAATTAGGGAGCTACAATGACTGACTCACAGGGAGACTGTAAATGTGTTTTCCCTGGATCTGAGTCCGAGCCTGAAGCTTCCAATCAAGGAATTTGCAAGTGATTTAAGATTCTCATGTGAAAAGGGTCCTGCAAATTACTGGCAGATGAAAAAGCTGGGGGAAGCCACGTGGTTCTGTCTTTGCCCTCTCTGGGGATGTCATGGAACAAGAGTCTGACACAGAGGAGCAGAGTCTCTCCCACGTCCCACAGCAATCTCAGAACCATAAATATCCCCAAGAATTCAAACTGTAGTCAGGTCTCTGCTGAGTTTCTGAGCCCAGCACAGTGGGAATCAGGAAGGGAACCTGATTGGAGCGACCTCGGAACAATGACACAATCACGAGGCACAACGGGAGCTGGGCAAAGACTGTTCTGGAAAATCTGCAGGGCTCCACACGACTCCCGGATCCCACAGCAGCTGGGAACTTGAAGGAAGAGGATTTGGGAAAGTCTGGCCTGGTGTAATGAGCTCAAAACAAGGGGAAGTCCTGGACAGGAACCAAATCTTGATGTCCCTCACCAAACTCTGCAGCCACCACAGCTCTCAGGTTTCACAGAAAATTCCCCCACAGTGGTTCCTGCTGAAAGCCAGGAGCTGGGAAAATTCCAGTGGATGAGGAGGAATGGGTTCCAACTGAAAAAAGGGAAGTTTAGGTTATATACGTGGAAAAAATCCTTCCCTGTGAGGGTGGGGAGGCCTGGCCCAGGTTGCCCACAGAAGCTGTGGCTGCTCCATCCCTGAAGTGTCCAAGGAGCAACCTTGGATAGTGGAAGCTGTCCCTGTCCATGGCAGAGGATGGAATGAGATGGAATTGAAGTTTCCAACCCAACCCATTCCAGGAATCTAAAAACCCGATGATTTGAGAGAAGCTGAAATAGCAAAGACTTGGAAATGAGCTCTGATTTTAGCAAACAAAGCAAAGTCATGGCACTGAGAGATGACAACAGCCCTGGATGTCTAAATTAAGGCACTGAAACCCATTTAATATTCACGTCCTCATCACAAACACGCAACGCAAATTCCCTAATATCCAGTAAAGCTGTTTATTAGCAAATGCCTCATTGGATTAGGGCTGCTCTTATTCTATTAGGGAACCTTCACACCACATTAAATTGCAAGACAAGAGGGTGTTTGCCAGCACATGGTGAACACAACATTAACCCCTTCCCAGGAAGTCCTGGAGTGGTCTGGGTTGGGAAGGACCTCAAATGCATCAGGGATGCTCAAAAATGCAAGTTTGGGAGGGGAAGAAGCAAAGAAATCCAGTTGTCCCTTCTTTTCCCCTTGCTCACAGCTCATTTTGGGTGAGCTCTGATGAGTGACATGTGGCCATCCATCTTCAGGGCTGCGCCTCGGTGATGGATGGAGAACATTTGGAGAACAGGCAGGGAAAAAAAAGCCAAACTAATGGCCATGAGAAAGAGAAAAAAGGGAGAAAGAGGGAGAAAACAGATGTAACCCAGTGTTAGGCAACAGTTTAATGAGGTGAGATTGATGTACCAAAAATAATCCCAGGGGTCTTCCGAGGTGGGAGGGGCCCACAAGGATCAGGGGATCCCCCAACAATCCCACCCTGTGCATCAGAGCCTTGTCCAAACACTGAAACTGGTGAACAAGGAGTTGAAACAGCCCAAAGGAGCCAAGCCCAGGTTTAAAGTTATTAATCCAGAAATGTCCAAGGGTAGAAAGCTGATGGCCACCATGCAGGAGTTCATCTTTTACTTTGCTAAGCCCTCCCTAAGTGCTTTCAGACCTCTAGAAATTCCCCTTTATTTCCCTTTCCTGCCCTAAATGCACTCCATTTCCTGAGCTCGGAGATGGAGCTCAGGAATCCACACAATCCCATGTGGATTTTGCTGCTGGTTCCATCCCCAGCTCCTCCCCAGCCCAACCTGAACTTCACCAGAGAGGCAGAGGGGGAACCTTTTCTGCCTCCTCACCTTGCCCCAGCGCAGGGCCACAGATCCCCAGGGCAGAGCCCCAGCTCACACCTGGGAGGTTCCTTTCTGCTCCTTTTATTTACAACCAGAATATTCTTGTGAGTATCTCAGAGCAGCGTTAACTTCTCACCACACAAAGTTTCCTGAGCTGGATTTTACCCCCAGTTTTCCACCTTTCCATTATCCCCAAAGCAAAGCACTGAACCTCCTGATTAAACACCGAGGTCCCATAATTAAAAGTGATTCTCAAGCACGGTTGCCAAATGAGGAGATGATTTATTTGCATAACTGAAATAATCTACATAAAGAGCTGATTTCCACCAGGGTGCAGCTCAGATGTTCCTCTCGGGTCAGACAAGGCACTGAGGTCAATGGATTTGTCCTGAACTCGAGTGCTTTGAAGGAAAATCCATTTCCAGGGCTCCAGCATTCTTGCCAGGGATTCAGAGCCTGGATGCTGCCACTGCTCCATGGGTTTTTGAATGCATCACTGTCAGGCTGGAGCTGCCACCAACACCTCCAGTCGTGTCCCAGTCCCTCAGCTGAGAGGGCTGAGATCACGACTGCTCCACAGCTGACACCTCACAGAGCATCTGCTGCCACAGCAACACATCAAAATCAGCCTCCCACTAAACTTTTTTAACACTGAAAGCCTCACTGGAGAAGCCATGGGGAGTTTTCCTACTAAAACTGGGTTACTGGACACTTCTTCCCCCTGGAGATCCAACAGATGTGAGGGAATGCAGCCCCGTCCAGCTGCTGGATGGACTGGGAGCTAAGGAACAGCCCAGATTTTGGGGGAAAACCCACAAAGCCTTTGGCAGAGCTACCACTGAACCCCACAGTCCATCCTCCCACTCCGGGAGTCTCGTTGGGACTGAGGGAAGCTCTCTGCACATTAGCTCTGCTTCCCTCCTGCTCCATTTCCTAATTAACTCCTCTGGATGTCTGCGATGAGTCTTGATAAATCATTACTGTCAGGCGTTCAGAGAAACATTTCAAGGCTTATCAGAGCTAAGAAATCAAAACAACTGTAAGAATTGCTCATGGAGAAACACTCCCAGTTTATTGCAGCAGAAACATCCAAGGCCAGATTTAATCCCAGCTGCAGGAAGGGGAACATGTTTATAAACATCACTGTAATGAGCACTGTACCTCGTTCTCAGATTCCCCTGCTGAGGCAGCCCATCGTAGATGGATAATACATCAAAATCTTCCTCTAATGCAAAGGACTGGAAAACAAGCTGTATCCTGTTCTGCTCCTCAGCAGTGATTGTCCACGTGCAGTTTGCATAATTGGGGTATCCATAGGGAAAGCCTGGGCTCTGGATTGTCCCGTTTGGGCCCTGCAATGTGTGACTGCAGTTCTGGGCTGGCAAGAGAAAAGACAAAAGAGCACAAAGTCAGAGGGTGTCAGGTGAACGCTGAATGTCCTCACCATTCCAACAGAGCACACAGGGCTCATCCCACCAGGTTTCTGTGCCCCAGGAAACAGAGGAAAGTAAAATCTGAGGATGAAGTTTTGGCCTCCTCCCTGCAGGGATGTGGAGCCCAAGCTCCCGTTCACATCCTGGGCTCTGCTCCCAGCAGCTGTGAGCACAGCTGGATTCACAGCTGTGGCCCTGGGGACAGCTCCTTCCTCAGGCACCCTTCCCCAGCCCACCACAAAACCCAGTGTTCTCCTATCACATTCCCATTTTTGGGATTGCCCCCTGCCAGGTGCCAGGCCCTGCTGGGTCACAGGACAGCACAGGCACAATGCCAGAGCTGGTTGTCTCCTTCTCCCCAATTCCAGGCACAATGCCAGAGCTGGTTGTCTCCTTCTCCCCAATTCCAGGCACAATGCCAGAGCTGGTTGTCTCCTTCTCCCCAGTTCCAGGGACAATGCCAGAGCTGGTTGTCTCCTTCTTCCCAATTCCAGGGACAATGCCAGAGCTGGCTGTCTCCTTCTCCCCAGTTCCAGGGACAATGCCAGAGCTGGTTGTCTCCTTCTCCCCAATTCCAGGGACAATGCCAGAGCTGGCTGTCTCCTGGACATGAAGCAGAAGAAGGGTTGAGTGTGCAGGCAGTGCCACATGGAGGGATGCTTTCTCCTCATCCTGAGAAAGCAGAAGGGACCCCACAGAGCATGGAGCTGAGCCACCACGAGCAGCCTGGCTGGCCAAAATCACCCATAAACCTGTTCTGACTCCAAGAAGAGCAGGACCTAGTGCAAGGCTTGACCAAACAAACCATCCTGTAAAGTGTCCTCCAACCCTGACTGTGCCATTCACATTCTCTGGACAGACAGACAGAATTCTGTCCCTCAGGAGAAGCACAGGGAGGAGAAGAGAAAACAATCTTTATCTCTGCTCCTTTGTTCTCCCCATGTGCAATGTGGTGTGGAGATTGTTCACCTGCAGGGATGGCTGGGTTGGATTCTGGTGAAGTTGTTTGGGGTCAGTGACCAATGGATCCAGCTGGGTTGGACTCTCAGCAGAGTCACGAGTTTATTAAAGTTAGATAAGTAAGTAAAAAGTATGGATGTAAAATAAAATAATCTCTCTTTAAATAGTATATTAATGTAATATAGTATAGTTTTAATAAAGTTGTCCTTCAACCTTCTAACCTTAAACCAAACATCATCATTTCTTCCCCGAGTCAGGGTCGCCTTTTTTACTATACCTGATCATTTAATAATTCTGGGAATGGCTCACTGGAGCAAAGGACAGCAGCAGCAGCACTCACACCCCTGTTGGACCTGGTGAAATCACCAGCCAGACCCTCCTCGGGGGCTGCTGGCTCCTCTCAGCCAGTTCTGAAAGGTCTGTGCTCCTCACTCTGCCCCAGCACACAGAACATCTCAATCAGTACCTCTGAGGAGAGAACAAAACCTCCTCCTGTAACACCAGTGAAACACCCAAAAACCTCCCTGGAATCCACTTCCCCTGCCCAAGGCAGTACTGGGAACACTGCATCCCAAAGGCAGAGACCCACCATGTACACTTAAGAGGATTTATGAGATTTTCTTCTCTCTGGGGACACAGGTACAAGAATGTGTTTTGGGAACAGTCTAAATGACAAATTCTCTCCAGCCTTTTGCTCTCCCTTCACTGCTGCTGTGCCTGGATGTCTTTGGAGGCACAAAGAATTCACTGCAAACTGCTGTGAATTCTCCCTGCTTTAGTGGAATAATTCCTCCACAAAAAGCCAAATTCCAGACAACTGGAAGGGTCGATCTCGTGGTCCAAAAGCTGAGATTCACCTTTATCCTCTGAGCTGCTGCTTTTCCCACCCATGCTGGATTGTTTACCCTGCTGATGGGGACAACAGAGGCTTTCAAGTCGAACTGCATCAGAGTAAAAATTACTTCTTTGATTTCTCCTTGCTTTTTTTTTTTTCCCTTTTTTTTTTTCTCAAAGGCAGCAAAGGCATTTGCACTTCTGAGTGCCAATAAGCTACAGGTACAGAACTGCAGAGTGGTGCTCATTAAAGGCAATTATAATTAGATTGACCTACTTTGGGTGCAACAAACGCTCGGTGGAACTTCTCCCCGCAAGACGGAGTTCGCCGTTTCATGAATCTAAGACAGCCCATCCTATTTACTACCCAGGGAATCTTTTTGTAGCACATTCATTGGATCAATGAGAGGCAGGACAGCCCCACAATCCACCAGGGATTAAAGTGAGGGAGGCACAGGATTCCTGGGCTGGAGTATTTTGCATTTCTGTAGCAGCTGGCTTTTTGTCACTACATAAGAGACGAATCCGCCTCCCTCCTCCACTTGGGCTCCATTTGTTTTGGGGAGTTCACTGGAAAAGCCATTTGCTCAGTGCCAGAAATCTGCACAGGAGTGGGAATATTCCTGTGATCACAGAGGAGTAAAGTGAAGCCCAGTTTGGTTTAACAACCAAAGGTCCACGAGCTCTGTTCTCCAATTCGGCCGAATCCTCTCTCCACCCTCAGCGACGCTCAATAAGCAGCAGGGGGATATTGAACTGTCCCTCCTGCTCCTTTTTAATTTAATCAGAAGTTCATCAGAACAATCTAAGGCAAATGGGAAATTAAAGAGGCTGTATCTCTCCATTTCCTCGTGGTAAAAGGCTGCACAAAGCTCAGGAAATAAATTCAAGGTCAGAGCCACCATGTTCCAAACACTTCCAAGGTCATATGGAAGCTCCAAAACCCAAAAACCTCAGCCCATCCTTCCCCAGCCAGTGCCACAAATGGGCATAAATCTATCTGAAAGAACAAATAAATAATAGAAAAATAAGACAGAGTTTTATGATGTATCCAATCAATCTACTGAAATATTTGCATGTTCACGATGTTGACCCAGAAGTGCTCTGGGCACAGATAAAAGAAAATTGCTTATTGCAAACAAAGCACAGCTTTGCAAAAGCTGCCAAACTGGGCAGTAATATATTCTGTAATAGCTGTAATAGCAGAGAACTTCATTTATATTGGACATTGCTGGAAAAAGTCATCAGGCACGGAAAGAAATCCGGGAAGCTGAGGGAATTTATGTGTTCTATCATTTGCTTCCAGGTCTGAGCTAGTTCAGCTCATCCTTGACTGACAAAACCTTATCTGAAATTCAAAATTTCTCCTGTGAAGATTGCAGAAACAATTCCCTTTATCCCTTTGGCCCAGGAGCACAAATAAGTAGAAAGATATGAAAGGGCAGCGCCGGTGCCTCGCTGGGAAGTTCCAGGTGGATTTGGGGTCGACAGAGGACAATTCTCCCAAAATTTCTGGCACATTCTTCCCATCCCAGAGTCTGACAGGAGGCACCTTCAATTCCTCACCCAGAGATTGTCAGCGTTCAGGAGCACACAGAATCACTGAATGTGATTCTATGCAGGTGCTTTTATTGAGAGCTCTGGGAATTGGGGTACAAACCCAAATCTGACTCTGACACGGCTTTCGAGCTGAACGTATTTTATATTCTATCGTTACATAACTTACATATTCATTATTAAACATACATTGTTCTATCGTATACATCGACATGAGTTTCTTGTGATCTTTCTTAGTCCCCTGACCACAGTTTCTCATGATTATTCTTATGATTAAACAGTAATTATATTTAATTACTAAACAATCGTCCCATCTAACAATTCTATCATTTATCATGTACAGGTGCAGTTCTAGCAAGCACAAGCTCTTAATGTGCTGAGGGTGTTTATTTTTCCAGGGCCTACTAAGCTTATTTTTCCTGTTAACCCTAAATCCCCATGATTTAAAAACCCTTTTACTATCAAGATGAGAATGCTGCATCATCCCCCCAGCTCAGGTGTGTTCCTGTGGATACTGCAGCTCCTCCTCTCTCCTCCGTGGGCTGAATTCCGGGGGTGGGACCCCCTGAGCTCATCACAGGGATGGCTTTGTGGGCATTTGTCCCATTTGTGACGGAGGGAAAACAGAGCTGAGGCCAGGCTGGGCTCTGCCAGCACCTCCTCTTAATTCTGGAGAGTGGTTTGTTGGGAGTGGGTCCCTGAAAGGAATCCATCAGCGCTGCTTACTGCAGGAACCTCAGACAAGGACAAGGCATCATTTAGGATTGTCACAGCATTGTTTAGGCTGGAAGAGACCTCCAAAACCGTTGAATCCTTTAAGGAAACCCGCAACACTTTGGGAAAACATCTTTATCTGGGACACCACCAATGGTAATTCACTGATGGTGACTCAGTTATTCCATTTTTTCACACATTGGTTTAACCAAGTCTCCACTCCCAGGAGTTCTTTTGTGCAACAGGCACCCCTTGAGCAATCCCCAGACTAACTGGCCTCACCCTGGGCTCCTCACCAGGGAAATGATGGAATATTTTTTTACTCTGCTCTACTCTCACAGAAGAACTGCAGCCCTGAACCATGAGCTGCCCACAGCAGTTTGTAACACCCACTTTAATCCACACAGTACAAAACTTAACGTGACCAGACACTGCAGTGAAAAATGAATATCACCTGAGCAGAGGAGAGCTCCAAACCCCCCAGGCTTCGCTGTGGGGCTGCCATGAAGAGAAAGGAAGGGTGGCAGGAGCAGGAACCACATCCTTGTGCTCCAAACCAGAGTTCTTTTGACAGGACAAGCTCCAGGAGTGGAGGCAGAGGCTCGGGGGAGGTTTATTTCCACTGTAAATCCAAAATCATCTCGACACACGAGCCAGGACCATTCTGGTGCCAGTCACTGCACATTTAGAGGGGCCCTAAAGCAGCAGGGCTGGCTGTCCTCAGTGTCAGAGGTGACAGTCGCTGCACACTGACCAATGCCAGCAGGTTATGTGCAGGTAAAACAGGAGATTCAGCCATGGAAGAGCACTCACAGCAGCAGGATTTTGTTATTCCCGTCAAACAAGCAACACTTCAGGGCAGGAATGAGCTGCCCTGGCT